TTGCCAGATCAAAAATACCAGAGTCCTTCTAAGGGTTAAGATTTGAATCAAGAAAAAGATACATATACATATTTTATTATATACAAACAAGGAACAACAAAAAGTTTCATCATGTAAACAAAAGAATATAAATTATAGACATAATTGGAAGTTTCAAAAAGTCCTTAAATCATTGTGATCTTCTCCAAAAGACACAGGTCTTGGAGTGTGGGCACAGAGCCATCAGTCAGACGTCTGGGTGGTCTCCCATAATAGCAATTTATATTCTAGAGAAGTGGGCTTTTTGTGAACTCTGTCAGGGTGAATGAGTTAGGCCTCTTAAAGGAATGAAATGCTTTCACATTTGGGGCAACAAGTGAAAAATATTGAAAGAAGGGATATAACTAGGATTAGATTTATTGTTGACAGTGATTTTAGAAATAAATCACTGAAAACATGTTAAAAGATTTCTAGATAAAATTCTGGCTACCAAAAATAAGAAAGGATACCTTTTGTGGCTCTACAAATGGTTTGGTGAAAAATAAAAAAGGAAAAAGTGAGCCGAGGAGAAAGCGAAATAGGGAAGTCTAGGGAGGAGGCAAGAAAATACACAAGTCATAGCAAGAAAAAAACATGAGATGGTCCTTTCTAAGGCCAGGTGTTGGTGATATTTACCTATGTAAGCTCAAGCCTAGAAGAGTACAGTTCTTATATATTCACTACCTAATGCTATACAAGAAAAAATACTTTTCATTTGTTATGAAAGAACTACTTTATATGAAAACTAAAAATATGTATTTACATTGCAAATCCCAGATGAAACCCAATTTAATACAAAGTGAACTATAGGGATGACAGAAAAATGGGTAGATATCAAAATTCAACTAAATTTACAGTACTGCCTTATATCTTTTTTAAATTTTGTTTTTGAGACCGAGTCTTGCTCTGTTGCCCAGGCTGGAGTGTAGTGGTGTGATCTCGGCTCAACGCAACCCCTGCTTCCTGGGTTCAAGTGATTCTCGTGCCTCAGCCTCCCCAGTAGCTGGGATTACAGGAGTGTGCCACCACACCCGGCTAATTTTTAATAGAGACGAGGTTTTGCCATGTTGGCCAGGCTGGTCTCAAACTCCTGGGCTCAAGCAATCCACCCGCCTCAGCCTCCCAAAGTGCTGGGATTACAGGCATGAGCCACTGCACCCGGCTGATATATATATTCTTTTAAAATCTATACACAAGGCTCAAGTTCTGGGGTTTCAGGTTTTATTTTTAAGTTTTCTTTAAAAATAAAATTGCTAACCCCCAAGTGAATTAAAGGTTGATCTGGGCTCGCAGAGGTAATCTGCTCTTTGTCACCAAGTGCTCTGTAGTTTCTTCCACTTTAGACCTCTCCAGTGTGTTAATGCCTCTGTTTTCTTTGTCTTTTCCATGTGATTTTTTATGCTGTGGATTTAAGGGGGAAAAATTAAGTCAATATAAAGTAACATTTGATACACATTAACTACACTCTATTTTCAAAGTTCTCTGGGCTATAAGCAAGAAAACTTAAGTGTAGAAAACCAGAAAAGGTTTAGCACAAGTTTGAGCCAACAATTTGGCAAGTAGAACCAAATGCCTTCTTTATTTGATCACTACTGGAAGGAGTAGAGTGAAAGAAGTATTACTTTTCTGTGTTATTTTCTAAGACATAGTTACAGATTTTACTCCAGGGTAGTGGTTCTCATCAGGGAGCGATTTTGCTGCCACAGGGGACGTTTGGCAATGTTTAGAGACTTTTTTGGTGTTACAACCAGGGAGTGCTACTGGCTTTGAGTGAGTATTCACACAGTTCACTGTTTTTCTTGTGTACCGACATAGTACAGTCCACAGGAAAGACCATTACAACAAAGAATTACCCAGTTTAAAATGCCAATAGCACTGCTGTCAAGAAACCCTGCTCTAAGGAAACAAAGATTTGCTGTCATGCAGAAAAGCCAATTCTGTTTTAAGCAGAGAAACTGGTATATGGGACACCTTAAAAACAGTTTTGCTTAGTTCTTAAAAATTGTTTTTTATTTTATTTGTAAAACCTATTTAATATTCCTCATTTGGAAGTTCTATTTCATTGGAATCCTACTTACCCATACAGAACATTAATGGACTGGTGACATTCATTGTACACTCAGTCATCAATGCTGAGACAAATTATAAACCAACTATTAAAGCTTTAAACCCAGAGAAAATCCCCACATCACACTGTTACTAGGGAAAAGATTTCTGGACTTCAGCTGAAGGTCTAAAACTCCATCCCAAACCCTCTCTGGTATTGTAGGGACTTCCTTGCCATAGCTGAATCACTAAGCCTAATTCAAAATGCCACAGGTAATAATAATAAAAGAACTCCTGACCAGGGATTAAGTAGTCACCAGGTTCTCTTATCCTTCCCCCTTTCCTAACTTTATAAGATAGAAGAAAAGGATAAAAACTGAAAGAAACATATATATAGTTCTCTAATAGTAAAGAATAAAGCAAAAGGTGGCAAGAATTTGGGGATAAAATTGCCCAGAGGAAAACAGGGAGGAATTTATGAGAACCTGAATTAGAACTTTGTTAACAGTTGAAAGCAGTGATGGAGAATCTTTAGACCTTAAGGGAAGGACCTGTAGATCAACTAAAAACAGTTACAGGCCAAGCACAGTGGCTCACGCTTGTAATCCCAGCACTTTGGGAGGCCGAGGCGGGCGGTTCACCTGAGGTCGGGAGTTTGAGACTAGCCTGACCAACATGGAGAAACCCCTTCTCTACTAAAAATACAAAATTAGCCAGGTGTGGTGGTGCATGCCTGTAATCCCAGCTACTTGGGAGGCTGAGGCAGGAGAATCGCTTGAACCCAGGAGGCAGAGGTTGTGGTGAGCCAAGATTGTGCTATTATACTCCAGCCTGGGCAACAAGAGTGAAACTCCATCTCAAAAAAAAAAAGAAAAGAAAAAAAGTGGGTAGAGGGCTGGGCACAGTGGCTCACGCCTGTAATCCCAGCACTATGGGAGGCCGAGGACGGTGGATCACTTGAGGCCAGGAGTTTGAGACCAGCCTGGCCCACATAGTGAAACCCTATCTCTACTAAAAATACAAAAAAATTAGCCAGGTGTGGTGGTGTACGCCTGTAATCCTAGCTACCTGGGAGGCTGAGTCAGGAGAATCACTTGAACTCGGGAGGTGGAGGTTGAGTGAGCCGAGATTGTGCCACTCCACTTCAGCCTGAGTGACTCAGTCTCAAAAAAAAAACCAAAAGTGGGTAGGAGAGGTCACAGGATTTAATTACATTGGATTAGAGCAGGCAAGGTGCTCAGGAAACATGGGGCAACAGTTTACAAGAGAAGAGCCTCAGGGAGGGGAAATCACTAATATAACCTAAGCAGTCTCCAGTCTCTCAATCTTTTCAGTCACTTTGCCTTCAAAGTCTGATTATGGGCAGAGATAGGTTCCAAGACTTACATGTCAAAGGTAGAAGGAAGAGGAATGACTGCTCTCAGTGTCTGAGTACATAGGAAGCAGAAAAGGAATAAATACAATAGCTAAACACTATCAGCTAAGGATGTAGATTAAGTCAAATTCTGCCTTCATTTATTCTACAGAAAACCCCTTATCAGTATCAGATTTTTGTAAATAATTCAAATCATAAGCCTTAACAAGCCATCCTAAGGAATAATTGAAAGGCTTTTGTTGTTCTACTCACCACAAATAATGCCTTTATACTGAATAGTAAATGAATGACTTACATCAGATATGGAAGGGTTATCTGATATGATATACCTGGAAAAATGGAACCCCGCCAATTGATGAACAATCCACACCAGCATCTACAGATGGCTCTTGACTTAGAGGTTCTTCAGTACACTGCCCTAGAACTGCCTTTTCTACATCCACATCCTAAAAGAAGAAACTGGATGAGTGACTAAGTCCAAGGGCTTAAAAGTCATCGCAAGAGTAACGGTAGTTTTCTTCTTTGAATATAACACAATGCCCATGGTATAATATGAAAGTTAAACCTCAACAAAATTATTAGAAAGTCTACAAATTAATGAAAATAATTCCTAATATATTTTTATAGAGAGTAGAGGTTCCTATATAACAATGTTACTAAGTACAATATTAAATATTGGCAATTATTATCTACTAGCATAATTTAAAAACTAGTAAGATTAAAAGAAGCCTAAGGGCTAGGCCTATCATTAATGAGAGGCAGGGTAAGACTGAGGAGTGAAAAGTAAAATTCTTCACATGAAGTCAACCACATCAAGAGTTCATAAGAGAGTTCTATTATAAAATTATGATCCTTTAAATTTACCGGAATTGTCTCTTCTTTGTTGTTTTCCGAAGAGTTTAGCATCATTAACAGCTCAGGCTGTTTCCTTTTCAACTGATCAAGGAGATGTTCACGTGGTTCGGTTCTTACCAGTGTTGATGGGTATAAATAATTTTTCCTCTGTGGTGTTGTACCTTTAATGGACATTAGATAAGAGGTAACAATTAAAGTATGAGATGTAAATATTTTTAAAAAGTACTAAAACTTCCTAATCAATCTTATCTTCTAAAAATATAAAATATAAAAGTATAATTGCCATATTTGAGGATCAGTCTTGCTACCTGTAAGGCAGACATTGTTTGCAACTAACAATATTTTCTAATTTGACAACAGACTTTACTATTTTCAAGATTCATCCTACTCTCTAAAACATGAAGTTTACCATCTCTGAGGATATATAAAAGATGTGTTATAAGCTCTAAAAGGAGTTGTAGTGTTCTGAAAAAAATGGCAGCATTATTGGAACGAGATTTCCCAACATGATTACTTTGATAGGAGTAATCATTTCACTATAAATGTGGAGTGGTGGTTAAATATTAACCAGTTATATATATATACTATGTTGCCCAGGCTGGTCTTGAACTCGTGGGTTCAAACGATGCTCCTGCCTTGGCCTCCCAAAGTGCTGGGATTATAGGCGTGAGCCACCACATCAGGCCCCCAGTTATATTTATCTGTAATGAGCTCATGCTTTGGTAATTTACAAAAGTACTTGCCTTTCCACTCAACATTTACATTCCTAACTTCATTGAAAAGTAGACAGTAAATCTTACAGGTCTCTTGGGGAAAAAATAAACCAACATTCTATGTAGCACCATCCCCTTTTAACAATTGGTTTTTAAATTTTAAAAAAAGAGAGTTTTGTGATATAACTGACATACCATAAAACACTCATTTTATGTGTACAATTTAGTGGATTTTAGTGAGTTTACAGGGTATGCAACCATCACCACAATCCAATGAAGAACCCAATTATTTGTGCTGTGTAAAACAGCTTGTGGCTCTCCTCGCTCGCCTTCTGGCTTTGCCACGCCCTGCTCTGGAGAGACACCCGCCATTTCACCCAGTAAGCGGCCACGGCCTGCAGAGGAGAGCGGCTGTAGCTCCGCTTTGCCCGGCTCTCCGAGCACGCCACGGCCCCCACCCGGGGCTCCGCACGGGCCGCGGGCTACGGGACCTGTACAGTGCCTATGATTACACAATACCACCTGGGGAGAAAGCTCTTGTGAAAACGGACATTCAGATAGCGCTCCCTTCTGGGCGTTATGGAAGAGTAGCTCCACAGTCGGGCTTGGCTTGCAAAACACTTTATTGATGTAGGAGCTGGTGTCATAGATGAAGATTATAGAGGAAATGTTGGTGGTGTACTGTTTAACTTTGGCAAAGAAAAGTTTGAAGTCAAAAAGTGTGATCGAATTGCACAGCTCATTTGCGAACGGATTTTTTATCCAGAAATAGAAGAAGTTCAAGCTTTGGATGACACCGAAAGGGGTTCAGGAGGTTTTGGTTCCACTGGAAAGGATTAAAATTTATGCCAAGAACAGAAAACGAGAAGTCATGCCTTTTTCTTAAAAAAAAAAAAAAGTTTTTGCTTAAAGTGTTTTGCACTTCTATAAACTTACTAGCTTCACCTTTGAAAAGTACTGAATTTTTTACTTTTTTTTTATGGTCAAGGAAAAGATCATAAAAAAATAAAACACAAAGTTTTTCTTTGTGTTTGGATCAAAAAGAAACTTTGTTTTTCTGCAATTGATGGTTGTATGTAAATCTGCTTTGTGGTGACCTGATGTAAAGTGTCTTCTTACAATCAAATGTACATCAATTACAGATTTAAAAAAAAAACCCTGTATTTAACTCAAATGATCCCCCTTCAGCAACTTATTTTGCTTTGTTTTAAATCTTAAGCAATATTTTGTATTCAGTAAACTTATATTCTTTCACAAGGTACAAAATCTTGCATAAGCTGAGCTAAAAGAAATGAAAATGAAAAGGAGAGATTAAAGGTATTCCTTGTTCTTCTTTCTCTTCACTAGTTTAAAAACTTTTTAATCTTAAGATTCTTTGTGATGAGGATGAGAAAAGAATCCTCAGTTTATTTTTCCACTATTAATCTTTCTTTTTATAAATCCTCTATTGACTGGATAGAGGTATGTTTGTGAAAGACATGTAACTTGGGGATTTGTTACCTTTGGTTTGTTCCCCCTGAATTTCATCTCATCAGGCAAATTGTACTAGTTGTAGCTATGAGTTTCCCTAAGTGAAGTAGCAATAGGCTGTAATCGAGAAAATATGCCATTTATAGGCATATAAATGAAATAATAAGATAAATGAAATAATATATACTTCGGCCACCAGCTTTTTCTGTCTCTCACACATAAGCAGCACTTTATTGCAGATACGGGACTGATTCTGTGGCTTAGCTTGATTAACATCTTTTGGAAGTTTCTGCTAGTGTGCTTTCCTTTCTTTACTATGTTTCTCAAATTCCTTTGTGTCAGGGTTTTTGGTGTTACTTAGGTTTTGTCCATCAGATTCTATGAGACACCAGGCATTGTTTTGAGGATGTGGGTTATATACATGGAGTGCTTCTGGAACTATCAGTTTACTTGGCCACCCAGTTTGTGGAAGCACAGGCAAGACTGTTCTTTTCTGGTGATTCTCCAGGCCATTTAATACCCTGCAATGTATTTGTCCATCTGTGGGTCACAGTTCATTAGTGAGTCATGAAATCAACTCACTGGGACATAGCCACCATTTTTGTGTACTGGGTTGGGCTATAAATTATTTCTGTTGTCAATAAAATTTAAATGTTTTTCTGCTAAAAAAAAAAAAAAAAACAGCTTGTTACATCTCTTCTATGAAGACCTCCCTGAATCATTACAGCCTACAATGATCTTTGACTTATCTGATCTCTCAAAATGTTGATTCCTAAATGTCAGTGGTCCACGGTGATCCCTCATCTCTTAAAACAGGGATTCCTAAATGGCAATAGTCTATGACAAAATGAGAGGAACACAGAACAAAATGCACAATGTGGTAAACTTTGCATTAAACTCGATTTAGTTAGTTACATCTCTCCAATATTTGTGGTATTAAAATGTCCTTTTACAAACAGTGCTAGGTTTGTATTTGTTTTAAAAATATCCCCTATTAACAAAGTCAATTCCCTGAATGTATGTGAAATTTTACTCAATTGTGATACCACCTATATCATGACACTTGATTAAAACTATTTTAAGGTTCCAGTTTTCCCATTTCGAGTTGATTACAGTGAGATGGTAAATTCCTGTCAGGCAACGGCAGGACCTAATTTTTCTGAACATCTGACACTACATAGAGTTGAATTCGACTTCAAAAAATTTAACAATTCTATTTCTCTTTTAAAGTACCTGTTGGGATATCCAGTTTCAGATCCTGTTCCAGAAAGCAATTAAGCTTAGTCAAACCAATTTTTATGGTTTCGTTAAGTTCTAGATTTTGTGCTATCAATTTTTCTTCATCAATAGTCATCTGACCAAGAAAAATGTTATGCTGCCTCTCATGAGCTGCCTTATGTCCATTTGATTTCTCAGTGATGTCTGAACTTGAAGCCTCACAACATTGGTTTACAACCTGTAAATGATGCAAACAAGTGTTTATTACTCAAATTAAAGTTGCCAGTGTTTTATTCAATATCATATTTCCCCTTACCTTTTCCATAAATTTTTTTTTTTTTTTGAGACAAGTCTCACTCTGTTGCCCAGGCTGGAGTGTAGTGGCATGACTAGGGCTCACTATAGCCTTGACCTCCCAGGCTCAAGCCAGGTAGCCTCCCAGGTAGCTGGGACTATAGGCATGCCTGGCTAATTTATGTATTTTTTGAAGAGATGGGGTTTCACCATGTTGCCCAAGCTGGTCTCAAACTCCTGGGGTCAAGCAATCTGCCCACCTTGGCCTCCAAAGATTATAGGCATGAGCCACCACGCCTGGCCTTCAGTAATAAAAGATTTTAAAACATATACAAAAGTAGAGAGAACAGTATAATTAATCTCCTTGTATTCATTACCCAGCTTCAACATTTACCAACAAGTAGAGTACAAACATTTACCAACAGGACTGGCCACTTAACTCCTTCACAAACCCAGGATTATTTTGAAACAAATCCTGTATCATTTCATCCATTTACTTCAGCATGTATCTCTAAGAGGTAAGAGCACTTTAAGACCACTATCACATCTGAAAATGTTAACACTGATTCCTTCCTATCAAATGTCTAGTCCATGTTCAGACTTCACCAGTTGTCTCAAATGTGTGTTACAATTGCTTTGTTTGAACCAGAATTCACCACTAGATTTGGTTTATAGGTCTTAAGTCGGTCACTATATAATTTATCATCCAAATTGGAAACCTTTTAGAGTGAAAGGGCCCATTCATAATAATCATTCGAATACAACTTCAACAAGGACTGCCTCAGGCAAACTAAGACTTAAGGACCTCTAGTCTTAAGTCTCTTTTGGTCTACAGGTTATCTTTTCTCCTATTTTTTTCCCTTGGAAAAAAACTTGTTGCTGAAGACATGAGGTCTTTACCCTATTGAACACCTCAAATTCTGGATTTGGTCAACTGCATTTCTATGCTTTATTTTCTACAAACTGGCTAGACCTAAAGGCTTGATTTAATTCAGGTTTAATTTTTTAGCAAGAATATTTCATAGGTAGTACAGCAAACACAAAATGCTTTGCTGGGTCTCTCATGTTAAGATTTATCAGTGAGTTCAGGTATGGTTAGCCTATTAATTATAAAGTTCCCCATCAGCTTTTGATCAAATGGTTTAAGCCATCATTAATATCCACAGGGGTTATTTTATTAAGAGTTGCATACTGGTGATATATTCTATCATTTCTTCTCCATTTTATTAGCTTAGAGTCTAATGAAAACTTTTCTTCATTACCCTGCTAAACCAAGATATGGAAAGACAGATGGATGCTATATTGTTTTTTAGGATGCTATATTGTTTCTTCTTCTTTACCCATTTTCAGGACAATGTTTTGCTTCCCTGGCATGATCCAAAGAAGACCTATGAAATTTTTATGAGTTCCTAAGTTTTAATATATTTGATGTGTTTTAATCCTTTATGGCCATTATTCTTTTTGATGCTCAAATTATACCACCTTTGAACATGGGGAGGTTGGCTACTAAGACCTTTTGACAACCTTGAGATGGAGTCTCGCTCTGTCGCCCAGGCTGGAGTGCAGTGGCGCGATCTCAGCTCACTGCAAGCTCCGCCTCCTGGGTTTACACCATTCTCCTGCCTCAGCCTCCCATGTAGCTGGGACTACAGGAGCCGCCACCTTGCCCGGCTAGTTTTTTGTATTTTTTAGTAGAGACGGGGTTTCACCGGGTTAGCCAGGATGGTCTCGATCTCCTGACCTCGTGATCCGCCCGTCTCGGCCTCCCAAAGTGCTGGGATTACAGACTTGAGCCACTGCGCCCGGCCCCTCAGAAATCTTTAACAGCTTTCTTACTTTCTGGTATGACAAGATCTCTAGGGTCATATATTGTACATTTCCTATCGCAAATCTAAAATTAGTTATTTGTATACAAACTCTAGTTCCTTTTAGTGAAAACAGCTTATATAGATTATAATTTTTAATTCTTTGTAACCTACTTCCTGAGAATGTTAGTAAAATCCTTCTAATGCAAAGAAAGAAAAAACCAAGTTACAAAGGGCTTGTGCAAGTATTAAGTTTAAGCGAATCCATAAACCTATCAAGTATCCTTTGGTTACCAGAACAATAACCTAAATATTTAAAACAATAATAGGTTTGAATATACTTGGAGAAAAGTAAAAAGCATAGATAGGCCGGGCGCAGTGGCTCATGCCTGTAATTCCAGCACTTTGGGAGGCCAAGGTGGGTAGATCAAGAGGTCAGGAGTTCGAGACCAGCTTGGCTAACATAGTGAAACCCCGTCTCTACTAAAAATACAAAAAAAGTAGCTGGGTGTGGTGGCGGGTGCCTGCAATCCCAACTACTCGGGAGGCTGAGGCAGGAGAATTGCTTGAACCTGGGAGGCGGATGTTGCAGTGAGCTGAGATCGTGCCATTGCACACCAGCCTGGGCAACGAAGCTAGACTCCGTCTCAATTAAAAAAAAAAAAAAAAAGCATATATAAGTGGAGGGTATTACATATCAAAGACAGGCTGCCCTTCTTTGAAGAAACTACTAAGTCAGAAACCAAGGATAAATACAGGAAAGAAACTGTACAAATGTTAAATTAATTCCAAGATTGAGAAGACATATACCAAAGCACAAAACAAGATCATGTGTAAGCATACCAAATATTATACTTAAAAGTTTAAGTGATTATGGCTTAAAATATCATTTGTTTTGAAATCTATTCTCAGCCAAGAATATTTAATTTTCTGATTATTATTCTCCCCAAAGTAAGTTCTAGTTATAAAGTTATTACCTCCAATAAGTTCTGAAGTTCCTGTTCCCTTTCATTTAAGGAAGATACCCAGTGTTCAGAAAAATAAACTGTTCTTGTGTTCAGAGACTCACATCGCTGTTCAATCTCCTGAGATATTTTTTCCAGGTTGCCATTGAGTTTATCAGAGTGTTTTACAGACTCTTCAACCAATTTTGTACCTTCTTGGTTAAAATTTCTGAGTTCCTGTGACAAGCCATCAGAATCAGCACAAAATTTTTGACTGTGAAAAGTCATTTTGTTGACTATATCCTTAGATTTCCTATAGGAAAAGAGAATGACACTGTTGAAATGGGGAATTAAGACTCAAAGGATATATAACTTCCCAAGATCACTCATCTCTTAAGTGGCAGATCTGAACGTGGGCAGTCTGGCTCCAGGGCCCGTGATCTTAATAAATCGACATTGAGAATGGATGCCTTGGCCACTGTCTTTTCACAGCATTGCCATTAAATGACCTTTGAAAGGATCATCTTTGCTCATGAAACCTTTCACAGCCCTCCTTCAGTTACGATGCTTTCAAAATC